ACAGCTCACAGCAACCTCCAACTCCTGGGCTCAAGCGAGTCTCTTGCCTCCGCCTCCCAAGTAGCTGGGACCACAGGCGCCCACCACAGCGCCCGGCTATTTTTTGGGTTGCAGCCGTCATTGTTGTTTGGCAGGTCCGGGCTGGGGATTCGAACCCGCCACCTTAGGTGTACGTGGCTGGCACCTTAGCCCGTTGAGCTATAGGCGCTGAGCCAGTTCACCTAATTTTCATAACTCAAGTTTGCGACTATATTAAACTGTTTATCATTATTTAGAAACAATTAATTTGTATAATCCTAGTAAAAAGTCTATATTTGATCACAGTTCAAAATATAAGGAAAACTGACTGAAAGGAGAAGGTTTTTTCTATTTAATCTTTTCCTATTATACACTGAAGTTAAATACAGGAAAGGGAAACCTTAACTGTATAAATTGTAATTCAGTGGTGTAGCTCAAAATAACGCTCTATTTACCTTTACTGAACAAGCCCCATCAAGAACAAATAAGACATGCATTAATACCATTATCACTTCTTTAGCTTTTAAACAAATGTTTGTTTCATCAAAGTAACTTCCATTTAGTATTGTAATTCATGTATTATTAGAAATAATATTTATGGTTTGTAGGAACAGGTGATGAAATGACTTTTATATAATGAATCAATGAATAGAAAAGCCTGTGAGTTTAGTATAAAGGAACTCTCATCCCTAAATTTTTCTTCCATTTTCCCAGGTCTGTCTTTATTACACTGTAGTTATTTGGATGTCAGATTCCTCAAACAGAAAAGTACTAAGGGAATTACAAAAAATTTTAATCACTAGGCAGAATTACAAAACTCTTAGCAGTCTGTTCCAAATTGTAGACAACATACCATTTAAGGATGATTATCTTAAGAGGATAATTAAGAGAGAAAGAAATGGTATATAAAATATTTCTTTACAACAAATTCATTGTGACTATAATCATAATCGGACATTTATGGTTTTGTTACATAGAATCCTTCTTCCTAATGGTTTTTCTAATAATGAGATTTTTGTCTAAGCCTATAATGAAATCCAGAAAAATTCAAAAAGCATACGAAACTTCAAAGCAGTTATTAATTTAAAAATAAGAATTAAGAAGTTTTGATGAAAATTCAGAAGAGTATAAGACCTGATCTTCTTAACTATTTACTCCCCCCAAGTACAGGCAATTAAAATTTCTAAATTTGGCTCAGTGCCCATAGCTCAGTGGTTAGGGTGCCAGCCACATACACCAGGACTGGCGGGTTTGAACCCAGACCAGGCCTGCTACACAACGACAACTGCAACTAAAAAATAGCCAGGCATTGTGGCAGGTGCCTATAGTCCCAGCTACTTGGAGGGCTAAGGCAAGAGAACTGCTTAAGCCCAAGAGCTATGATACCAGGGCACTCTACCGAGGACAACATAGTGAGACTCTGTCTCAAAAAAAAAAAAATGGTTCATGTTTGACTCAGCGCCCACAACACAGTGGTTATGGCACCAGCCACATCCACCAAGGCTGGGAGGTTCGAACCCAGCCTGGGCCAGCTAAACAACAATGACAACTGCAACAACAAAAAAATATAGCTGGGTGTTGTGGTAGGCACCTGTATTCCCAGCTATTTGGGAGGCTGAGATAAGAGACTCGCTTAAAGCCAAGAGTTTGAGGTTGCTGTGAGCTGTGACATTATGGTACTCTACCGAGGGCGACACAGTGAGACTCTGTCTCAAAAAAAAAAAATTTCTAAACTTGGAACTTATGGTAATGTAAGTTTTATAAGTACATCATTCAGCAATTTAAGATTTCTTCTGATTTAAGCATGTGTATCCCTGGTTTGTATCATTGACTAAGTTATATTTTAAATTAGCTATATATTGGACAGGAAACTTTGCTTAATCCAAAGACTCTGATTACTCTTTTTAATTCTGCATTCCCTCAACAATTGTTTGTACTTATTTTTAATTTGTGTTTATTGCTTTGTTGCTTAATTATTTTCATCAAGCAGTTATTTTCAAAGTATATTCCATGGGATGCTAGTCTCATGAGATACTCTGCAAATAAAGTTGGGGGGCCAATGTTCAGTGGTTAAATATGTTTAGGGAATACTGCACTCTTAATTATACTCCAAAAAATTTTTAGTGTATATTAGGATATTAAAAGTTTTGTAAAAATATACAGTAAAGCAATGTAATTATTTTCTAATATTTCCTAAATCAGTTATACCAGGGAATTCTTTAAAAGTTAATGCTTTTATGGTTGTTACTTAGGGTAAGTGTGATAGAAGTTACATCCATTAGATGAACTAAAAGAACTTTCAGTTCTTAAGAGCCTAAGATTTTTTTCCAGTTACATGACTCTTTCTAGTTCTGATTTTTTTTTCCTTCTGGGTATTGCTATTACCTCTAGGTACTGGTTGCAACTCAGTAATTCTGGATTCAGCCATGGTTGCATAAAACTGAAGCAGCTGGAGGCAGCAAAACCCTAAGACATCAGTGGCCATTAGAAACTAGCCATGAGGCTCGGCGCCTGTGGCTCAAGCAGCTAAGGCACCAGCCACATACACCTAAGGTGGCGGGTTCGAATTCAGCCCGGGCCCACCAAACAACAATGACGGCTACAACAAAAAATAGCTGGGCACTGTGGCGGGCACCTGTGGCCCCAGCTACTTGGGAGGCTAAGTCAGAAGACTCGCTTGAGCCCAGGAGTTGGAGGTTGCTGTGAGCTATGATGCCACAGCACTCTACCCAGGGGGATAGCTTGAGGCTCTGTCTCAAAAAAAAAAAAAGAAAAGAAAAGAAACTAGCCATGATATATCTCTGGTGCACAAGGGCCCAGGCCAGCTAAACAACTGCAACAAAAAAAATAGCTGGGCATTGTGGCAGGTGCCTGTAGTCCCAGCTACTTGGGTGGCTAAGGCAAGAGAATTGCTTGAGCCCAAGAGTTTGAGGTTGCTGTGAGCTGTGATGCTACAGCACTTTACTGAGGATGACATAGTGGGACTCAGTCTCAAATAAAAAAAAAATTATCTCTAGTGTAGAGTGGCTCTCTAAAGCTTACTAGACTAGCTAGAAGCCTGACATTTCTTCTCTAGTAGTATCTTAATAGCCTACTAGCTGTGTTGCCCTGGGACAAATTACTTTACATTTTGGAGCTGCTTTTCTTACTGGGTGGTTCTGTCAACCATGGAATGTGTATAAAAGTGTTTTATACATAGTAAAGAATATAATTTTTTTTTTTTTTTTTTGCTGTTTTTGGGTTTGAACCCACCACCTCCAGCATATGGGGCCGGCGCCCTACTCCTTTGAGCCACAGGCACCGCCAATTTTTTTTTTTTTGACACAGAGCCTCAAGCTGTCACCCTGGGTAGAGTGATTTGGCATCACAGCTCACAGCAACCCCCAGCTATTGGGCTCAAGCAATTCTCTTGTCTCCACCTCCCAAGTAGCTGGGACTATAGGCGCCCGCCACAAGGCCCGGCTGTTTTTTGGTTGCAGCCACCACTGTTGTTTGGCAGCCCGGGCTGGATTTGAACCCACCAGCTAAGGTGTATGTGGCTGATGCCTTAGCCACTTGAGCCACAGGCACCGAGCCAAGAATACAAATATTGACTATTTTCATCACTAGAGATTTTTCTTCTTGTCTTGCAGATATTAACATTTTGTTCCTTTCTTCTTTCACCACTTCCCCTCCCCTACCTGCTCAAATCTGTACTTTTTCCTCTATTCCATATCTTTGTTGAATAACGCAGATCCTTCCCTAGAAGCCAGAGCGCCATCCCTCTCCCTTATTAACAGATTCTTACAGTTGGACTCCAGAACTGACTCTGGAATCCAGCCTGTGGTGGTCATTCTCACTGTCACTGTCTTATTCCAGGCCTTTAGTTTTTGTTACCTGGACCACTACAGCAGTGTCCTTATATGATCTTTGAGCCTCGAACTCCCAGTTTGAAAAATGTAATTGGTTCCCTGTCAACTGTGACATAAAGTCTAAATCTTAAGCCTCACTGTGGCTGGCTCTCCTGCTTCATCTCTCAATACTTTGATCCTGCCCACCTTATGTTTTAGTCATAAAGAATGACTTTGCAGCCCTTCATATACCAAACCTGTTCAGGGTTCATTTACATGTCACCCCCTCTTATTTATGTGTAATTATTATTATTCTCCCCTTTCATCTAGGGAATTCAAAAAGTTTGTTCCAGTATTAATTTCTCTATCAAGCTTCCTTTGGGTCCCCAGAGTGCTTTTTTCACCGAGCTCCATACTTTCTTATAGAACTTGTTTTATCATAATTGTCTACCTTGTCATTAGATTGTGTGCTCCATGAAGATTGCAGCTGATCCTTGTGTATCTTTGAATTTTCCTATTTATAATAGTGTCTGCTATTTAGGCATTCAACAAATACTTGTTAAAAAATAAATGGCAGACAGACTCAGTGGTTTGAGTCTGTGATCTCAGTTATTTGAAAGGCTAGGGCAGGAGGATCCCTTGAAGCCAGGAGTTTGAGATCAGCCTCAGCAG